CGTGAATAGCTGGAGGGTTTCGTCCTCCACTGGCCGCAGCTGCAGGCGATCAAACCGGTTGCTCCCAGCCCTGACACTTGCAGTCTCTGCCCCGACGCTGGGCAGGGAGTACAAGGGGAGACAGGAGGGACCTGCCCGGGCGACGCAGCTGCTTTGCAGAGTCTAGAGCTGCTGGGTCAAGTGGCTTCAGCCACCTAGATAGCAAGTGCCTAAATGCCTTGACCAGCCCGCCAGAACATCCAGAGGAGGGAGCGTGTGCGTGCGATACACACGCACACACGCACGCACGCCTCTGAAAGGCAGCCCTGATGCTCCGGTGGCGGGTGCAGGAGACAATGTTGGAAATCAGCTCTTCTGCACCCAAGGAGGATGCCCGGATCCTCTTGCAACCAGGAGAAATCAGGGGGCCGGGGCCTAATTGGCTGGTTGGCACCCCCGTGGGATGCACCCACCCTTCTGGAGAGAGTTGGGCTGTGGGCATCACCTGCAGCAAGCGGAGAGGGAAGGAGAAGGGGGTCTGCACTCTCAGAGCCTGCCCCTGCCTCCTTGCTCGTAGCTGCTGATCTGTGTCCTCTCTCCCCGCTCCAGTGCATGCCCTGTGGCCCTGGGAACAGAGGGAGCTGCTTTGGCCCCAACATCTGCTGCGGGGAGGAGCTGGGCTGCTACGTGGGCACTGCCGAGACCCTGCGCTGCGTGGAGGAGAACTACCTGCCGTCCCCGTGCGAGACTGGGGGCAAAGCCTGCGGCGCGGGGGGCAGGTGTGCTGCCCCCGGGATCTGCTGCAGCGACGGTAAGAGGGGCCACCCCTTGCATCGCACCAAGCTGGCAGGGCGGGGGGAGATCCCCGGACACCAGCCTGGGTACCTGCCTCATCCCATCAGTGATGCTCTTTATAGTCTCTTGTGCACTCACCCCCTCGATGAGGGAAGGTGGCACAGCAACAAAAAAGCTAAGGGAGGTGACCAAGGTCACCCAGAGAGCCTGTGGCAGAGGAGGGATTTGAGCCCAGGTTACCCACGGCCTAAGTTGATGTCTCAGTGCCTGGGACACTTTGCACCCCCCATCCCACATCCAGCCACATCCTGGTCCTTTCTTTGAGAGTAACAGGTGTGGCATAAGCGGTGGTGCAGCAGGTCGGCTCGGCCGGGACCAGAGCGCGCTGGGTGCCGCACAGCAGGGCAGGGCCGGGCACGACGGAGAGGCCAAGAGCAAAGCGCGGCAGGCTCCTGCAGATATCATATCATGGGATGCAGGATGGGGGGCGGAGGGGTTCAATCTGGGGCTTTGTCCTCAGCCCAGCTCCCCGAGGAAGGGGAGCAAGGCAGAGCAATGAGCACCACCAGGCCTAGGATGAGAGAGGCCAGTGCTTCGGCTGGCATAGGGCACCATCCAGCTGCCTGTGAGGCAGGGAAACCGAGGCACAGAGCAGCGACGTGGTGTCCCCAAGTTTGCACAGGGCAGACCCGAAGCTCAGGACTCCCGGTCCCTTCTCCCAAGCTCTGGGCATAACCGGTTTGCCTAGAAACACATGTGTGGCCTGTGCATGTTGCACAGAAATCCAGGCAGGGCGGGATGCCCTGGTCAATAAGGGAGACGAAGCTGGAGCTCGAGCGGAGTAGGAGCCTGCTTTTGGCTGTAGCAGTAGCTGCGTCGTAGCGCCTCATTTCAGTGCTGATGTCTTGGTTTCCTCCCCTGCCCCTGCAGAGAGCTGCGCCATGGATCCCGTCTGCCTGGACGAAGACGGCGACAAAAGTCGGCAGCTTTCGGAGAAGAACCTGACCATCCTGGACGGCTCGGCCGGCGACCTCCTGCTCAAGCTGATGCACCTGGCCAACCGGAAGCAGCAGGGCAAGCACCAGGGCTACTGAAGGGAGGGCGGCGACGTCGCGAAGCATTCACGCAGCCGAGGGGGCGCGTCGGGCCCGCAGCCCCCCAAGGGGGCAGGGGCACAAGCCCTTGAGGTCCTTGTAAATACATGGCCAATAAATATTTTACTGCACTGCGCTCGTCTGCTCTGTGCTGTGACGCTTGCCCTGGAGGCCTGGGCCGCGGGAGTCCGATTCACCCAGGGTCCTGCAAACTGGCTTTGAAAAGTAGGGCATAAACCCCCGCAGGAGACCGACTGCTGAGAGGCCCAGACGGGAGGCCTGTTGCTCCGCAGCCAGTGCAGTCCACAGACGCTTTAGCGCTCGGCCTCCCCGCCTCGCTCAGCTGGGGGCCGCAGAGCCCCTGTGCCATCCCCATGCAGACCCCCAAAGAGTTGCCAAGTCCCTCTGCTTTAAACGGCCTCGGGCTCCCTGCCCCCAGGAGCTGGGGCGAATAATGCAAGCAGGAGGCTGGGGGGCCAATCGAGCCCCTCCTGCAGCAGGACACTACCCCTAATCCCAGAGGGAAGAGCACCCCTTACTGCATGGCTTCCTCCTGTTCCTTGGACGATTTCCAAAACTCAAAACTCACCTTTCCCAGAGCGAAACAGTGGCAGAGAGGAGCAAAGTGGGGGGCCCTTCTTCAGCTGCTCAGCCCCTGGACAAGTGCCACGCCGGGGCTCAACCCCAGGCTGAGGCTTTCTAACCTGAGCGGCCTCCAGGCAGGCTGTGGGAAGTGGCCCTCAAAAGCCCTGCCCCGTCCACTTGCAATGCTCCCCCGCGCCCTCGGCATCTCACCGCCGGGGGGAGGTGGCATCCTGCCAGGTCGGCGGGTCGGACCTTAGTGTAGCCGTGCGGCTGTCATGCAGCACTGCACAAAGGACGCAGGGTCCCATCATGCAGGGACGGACGTCCCCCCGCATCTGATACGGGTACAGGGCAGAGCACATGGGCACCAAGGAGCTGAACACAAGTCTTACGAGCCCCAGGAAGTCGTCCCAGGGAAGGAAAATCTGGAGGGGGGTTGCAGGGGCAGCTCTACACATCTCCCGTGGAGCAACCAGCTCCCGGGCCTGAGAGCCAGCGAGGGTCCTGCTCGCACCAGCCACCAGGGTTAAACACAAGGGAAGTACTTGCACTTGCCATTGCACCCTGATGGCCGGCCTCAGCCGGCAGCTGCACGCACGCCTCTGACTCCCACGTCTGGGAGAGCAATAGCTCCCACCCCGATGCTGCCTGCCCAAGATAGATGCTACGATCCAGGTCTGCTTGGGTGGACACCAACGTCACAACTCAAGCCATTCAGCCCCTCAGCAGAGAGGAAGCAGAAGGAGGGAGCTCAAGGCACAAGTTTCCTGCCACGCTTCTCCCCGGAGTGAACGCATCGGATGGTGCATCAGAAACCTGCTTCCTTTCTTGCAGAGTCTGGGCCCAAAGCTGCAGCTCCTGTAGGAGAGGCGTTGCTGGGCAAAAGGCTGGAAACGCCATGCCGTCTCCTCCACGGTCCTTGGAAGGGGTTGGTGAGTTTTGCCCCTGAGAAAGGTTTGGTTCCTTGTCCCTGGTATCTCCACCACGCTCCCCGCTGCCTGGGGCCAGCGCCGTACCTAGACTCCTGGCGGCCCCGGGCAAACTTTTAGTATCAGGCCCCCCTTCGCCACTCTGCAGCATTTTTTTGTTGCAAAAGTCTTTATCACATCCGTGGTATCGATGTCTTTAAAGAATTCGTTCTCAATTGATAACAGCAGCAGTCCCGTATATGCACAATATTAAAACTTTTTCTTTGCAATTGTCATTTTTTTTCATTTTCAGGCCCCCCTTTCTGTCCGGGCCGGTTCGCCCACGCCTGTGTCCAGGTCTGCCTGGGACATCTCAGCTCACTGGTACCCCTGGCTCACGACAGGGTTTCCCCCCCTGCCCAAGACACGTTACACGTTTTACACTATCAAGGCCCAGAAGCTCGTTAGCGGCTTTTTCTTTGTGCCTTTGTTACGTGCAGGAAGGCACTCCTGGAAGGTTTTGGTGGAAAGCACCTAGCATAACCGCTGTTAAAATACAGCAATACACAAAGGATACAGGGTCCCATGATGCAGATCCCACTGGCATGCTCAGAAATGACAGCACGTGGGCAGCGATTCTCCAGGTGCACCCTCGGGTGCCTTGAGATCTGTCCAAGGGTGCCACACAACGATAGCACACTTAGGTGTGCAAACACCTCTCATGATCCGTGAGATTTCAAAGAGGAAAAGAGGAACCTGGAGTGACTGATACACGCTGCCCCGCCACGGTCTCCCTGGGTCCTTCGCAACAGAAGAATCGCTCTAGGATTTTTCCATAGTCAAAGAGCGAGTGAAAGCAAAGAGCTGGCATTTTCCAGGGAGGCTCATGACGGAGGCTTGGAGTCGAGGCTGAGAGCCAAGGGTGCAGGAAATGCAGCTCATCTGCAGCCCGTATCAGTTAGGCCCTTCGCCAAGCAGGGCAAGGGGGCAGCGCGCCCAAACGGATAGCTGATTTAGAGCGCTGGGTTTCCTGCGCCTGATTGCCACTAATGGAAGGAGAATCCAGCCTCCTGCGCTGACAGGGTGCAGGGCCCTGTGCTGAGGGCCAGGAGGGCACCTAGAAAAGACGCCAGAGTTGAATAAATGAGCTCGGGGCACGGAGCAGACAATTCTGCCGGGTGAGCGGTGCACGGAGACTTCAGCTTGGATGACGAGGGCCCGAAGCCAGCGGCTTTAGGAGCAGTGAGCCAGGTAATACCAGATCGCACCCGACGACCCTCTGAGTCCCCAGCAGGCGCTCGGGGGCTTTGTGCAGTCTGCTCCCAGGCAAGCGGGGACCTTCCCACTTCTCCTAGGAGCCCCGCCAGACTGGAGCACGGTGCCGAGCCTTGCTGTGTCCTGCAACAGCAATGCTCAACCTTTGTGCCTGGCAGGCTGGACGGGCGGTGCCCAGTATGTCCGCAGGCTGGATCCAGCTGCTGGTCCCAATCTGGCACCCAGGCCAGGCATCACGGATCCTCATCGGCTGTGTGGAGGGAGGCAGGGGGCAGCCTGGACCTGCAGGGGAGAAGGGGACTTAACGTCACCCCACCTGGCCCCGCAGCGGAGGAGAAAGGAGGCTTGACCCGGCCTCAGCCCAGCCTGACAGCGCCAAACCCAGAGAAGGAAATCACCCAGAGATGCACCCCTGAAAGGGGCTGCTCAGAGGGGTGCTAGCCATGCATGCTGGACCCTGCCGTGAACCAGGCGCAGGATCCTAAGACCGCCCCAAGCCTCCCAGAAGCTAAACCCTCAAAATCGAGGGGGCCAATGCCGAAGCTGCGGCCCGTGCAAGTGGCAGCAAGTGACCCTCCGAGCGAGAGGACTCTGGGACACACTGCCCGGGCTTGGAGGCGACCAGGATGGGTAGCTGGGATGGTAGCCTAGGTACCATATTTCCCCACACACAACATGCTGCCCCATAGGATCCGCAGCCTGTTTTTGAAAAGCAGAATGAAGAAAAAAACCCTTTTTCTGCGGAAAGAGAGAGCACCCACAGCCAGCAGCCGGGGACCCCCGGCAGAGGCAGAAATAGCTATTACCACATTTCCTTACTTACAACGTGCAACCCAATTTCCAGCAGCTGAATTTGTGGGGGGAAAAACAAGGTGCATTGGTATATAACAGGATATGGTAACTAGCCCCACAGTGCAGATGGGGAAACTGAGGCAGAGTTGGGAAGAGCCACACTGCGGGGCTTCAGTTGTGGGGCGCACAAAGAAGGGAAAGTTTCCAGGGGCTTCTGGTCACAACCACAGACTCTCCTCGATGCTGGACATCCCAGCTGGGGCGGGGCTGTGGGGAAGCCCTTGGAAGGTGTCAAGCCTTGGATCCAGTCCTCATGCACCTCTGGGAGAGAGGGGCAGACGAGGTACTTTGGGTAGATGTGATATTAGTTATTAGACCAACTAAATAGTTGGAAAACATGTTCTTTGCAAGCTTTTGGGCAGAGGGAAAATCTCTGGGAGAGATGGCGCCCAGACGGGGACAAGGCTCCATCACCCTGTGCAAGAGTCAGCCACCGCTGGGACCCGTCTGTCCTTAGCATCTCAACACGTGGACGGGAGCAGCTGATCCCAGCTCCGCAAGGTCATATAAGGGGACAATGGCCAGCAGAGGTGAGCTGGAGCCAAAGGCAACGTGGGCATCTAGCCCTGCAGGCTGGTGGTTCAAAGGCAGGCAGATGTGATACCAGCCACATCCACGCCTTGTGCCGTCAGGTGCAGATGCTGGCGGGCCCCAGCCACACTAGCCAAGAGGGCCACTAGACTCTGGTCAACCTTTGACCTTCTAGACCGAGCCTCCCAATTTGATTTCACCTGTTGAGGAGGTCTGGGAGATGACAAAGGGTCCCGGGGGCTTGTCTGCACCACCGCGGCAGTGTGCTGGCGTGAAGGAGCCTGCCCATCCCCGCCTCACTCCACCCCAGCGACTTTTCAGGGTTTGCTCGCAGGACCCGCTTCCAAACCCGACAGAGAGGAAGGGCTCAGAGGAGCGTCCCTCGCCAGAGCACCTCCGGGCTTGGAGCACATCTGCAGACACAGGGAGGGGGCACTCGAGCCCCGCGGTGCCAGGTCGAGCCCAGAGGCACCAGAAGGGCCCATTTCTAGGAGCTCTGATGAGTGCACAGATGCTCATGGACGACTCACTGGGCAATGCCCAGACCCCTTTGCAGCCTCTCCAATACCCCTTCCACCCTGACTTGGTCCTCCGAGCACCTCTGCTCTCCCTCACCCCCTTCCCAAGAGCTGCCCCCTTCCAGCCATCCCTGCCCCCAGAAGTGCCCCATGGCCTGTCTCCCTGGCCTGCGCTTTCTGTCTGCATCGCAATGTCCAAACTCTTCCCAGGTGAGCCCTGCTGGTATGTAGAGGCGGCTGCTGGGCTCCGGAGAGCCTTGTCACCTGCTGGTGATCTACAGGTCCCATGGGGATTCACACGTATGCACACGTGCGCACACATACACACACTGCATGCCTTATGATCTACAGAAGGTCTCCTGGGGATTCACACACACATTGCACTCCTTATGATCTACAAAAGGTCCCATGGACACACCTACACGCTCACGTGCACAAACACATGCACACACTGCACTCCTTACGGACACAGCAAACCTGCCCTGTGTGGGCTGGTGGCGAGATGCTCGCCCAAAAGCCTCAGTAAAAAGCCACGGGGCGACCACTTGGGGCAGGTGAGGTGGGATCTGATGGTTCGAGGTACTTTGGATTTACAAGAGAGGGGCTCTCACTAGAGCTGCGTGGGCTCTGCCGGGGCCGGATGGGGCCTTTCCCTCCC